CCCAGGTATTCAAAAGTTGGTCCCACGGTATGACCAATGTCTCAATTCCGGTGGCGAATATGTTGAAAAATAGCTGGACACTTGCTGTATCTGTTGCAATAAATATTTCCATGAAATTGTGTTTTGTTTCTGTAAACGGCCCCAGGGAAACTTACTTTGTGGACGAGCCTCGTATTTGGCGAGATAAACAGAGCATATTTCCGCTTGTAACATCTCAAATCGATCGAATAGACCAAATATATAATTCTAACACTGTTTTCATTATATTTAATCAAAATCTTACATTAATATTTGGGAATGGACGGATGGATGGGGCTTTCCACTTTTTCATGTTGCAAAACACCCGACTGCCACTCACGATTTCCTTGTTTTTGTTGTGTGTTTTTTTTTGTCCAAAATATGAAAAACTTTAATAAATAGAATTTCCGGATAATTTTCCATTCTCAGGCCGCGATCATGCCAATATGTCCACGAAAGAACTGATCAATCAGTACTTACCAATAACGACACAAATCTTCTGATGGAAGGTTTCTCCGCCAAGCTGAACTGCCGCCAGAAAAATGTAGGCAATAGTAAGACACATCACGTGGCATGTCAGGGACTTGCCGTGCAGATCCCTTAATTCAGGGATCCGGCAGTAGACCAACATAGTGACGATCAAAAACGGTACCGAGATCAGCAGCCCTGAAACAAACATCCAACGTAGACATGACTGTCCCTGGGGCCACGTGCTTCTATTATTTCACATAGACTCGTTGAGCAATCAATCTCTCATGAAACATGAGCGTTCATCACCTTGTCCACAAAATGTCACCACAGGACCCTTGCTTTAATTCGTCTACAATCTCGCTGACATTGGCATCGGATGAGAGGACAATAATGATTAATGAACTAGGATTAAACTAGCCTAGTTTGAAGTATTATCCGGACATATTCCTGGAGGGACTGAGGAAAAAGCTTCTTTCAGGATAGCCGATACCTCCCGAGTACAAAAGCAGGAAAACTAACCACTCAATTATGATGTTCGGTCGGCCAATATTTGCATTTTGATACATTTTATAACCACAAGTTCCGAGAATCTCTTGTCTTCCACATTTCAGTATCTCGCCCTAAATATCTCGGAACCGCAATTTACTTCACAAATATTTGACTACTTTATCGGGATGTGATAATGGGCTGGCCTACTCCCGGTGAGAAACTACCACTAACATCGTCTGCGTACACAATGCTGCCCAGGTATTTATTAGGGTTTTATTCAGGCCGGTTGAATTCTTTACTGCCACATCCATCGCTATCAAAATACAATGCCACATCGTGTACGTCGTTGTCGCATTAATGTGATCCGAGGTATCCGGTTATTCTCCAGACACATACAAACATGGACGCTTATGTCAGTGAAGATTTCCCACGTCTTACTTTCGACAAATTTTTACATTTTCCCCACTGCAGAGATGTTTCAGAATATTCTACCTTAAAGCTGAGAGTTTTGCTAAAGGCTGCCGACACATTTCAAACCTGGTTTAAACTGGACGAAAATAACAGACACTTCACATGCGATTCCGCGGTCCGAACTGACTGGAGGCATTCTCCATCATGACGTCATCACCCAGCCAGACAGTCTCCTGACAAACCGCCTTGGCGAAGGTTATTGACTCAAGATGACTGTGAAATCACAATTTACAACTACTAAAGGTGAAATTCTGACAAACTGTTACGCTATGCGTACATTTCTTAACTTGTTTCGTCGTCTTCTCGTCATCAATTCCTTTTTGTCATCATCCAACGTACAATTTCAGTTTTCGGGTCGGAACAGAGCCGGTTGCCCCCTTGTTGACCAAAGTTTCGGCAAACATTACAGTTGTCATTTTAAAGGTATTTTTACGTGATGTCAGGGTGTGACAATGTTCGTATTGGCTCTCCAGGTGCAAGTTGATTTAACATGAGAACAGTTGAAATCAAAATCGTTTAACAACCAAAAACGAATGCACACAAAAAGTGACCTCAAAGACGCTTCACATTTAATGAAAATCCATCCAAAGGGTTAAAGCAGTCGAAGCGTGAAGCTCACTTGTATCTTATGACGAGGTTAAAATGAGTCGAAGTCCGCAGATGAGTCGGTTATAACGGGATGGGAGATTGTGGAAAACTAAAACTTGTAGGCAGTAGTTTCAAAATGCATTTCGTCACGTTTTCTTAACAGAACCAAGGACTGGGTGGATGGAATTGGTAAGAATTTTTTTTTTTTTTTTTGTAAAGTCTGAAACGACGAAGAGCAGACCAGATTCACTTGCAAAGACGGCGAGATCATGGCCTCCTAATTATGACAGATTGCTTCTTTATCTGCGTGACAACGGCGATGGCGCAACTCAAGTTGATTTATTGACACCTTGACTTTGCCTTCCATTTATCGTGCAAGTCAGTGTTTTCAATAAATTTTCAGATCTCGTAGCAAGACTTTTAAAACTTTTTGGAACCAAGTGCTAACTTACATGTACCATCCACTGTAACACACAGTAACTCTGCACTGCGCGCACAGAATTTCCCTAACCAACATTTGTAATGGAGACGCGTTGTGTTTACTTTGCGGTTCGGACTAGATTTTTAAATATAAGCTTCAATGTGTACAATGAGAGTAGAACAAAGTTGCGTGAGGGGTAAGGAAAAGTCAAAGTTTATCCCGGTACTTATTAAGCAACACGCCATAATTTTAGGCGAATGTTTTATTAGTTCATTTAACAGAGTTGTATCAACTGTTTAGTTTGTACAGCATCGAATTACATTGACACCGAAAGACGCTGTTTCGTAATCACCAATTCTTGGCCCAGAAATCGGCTATCCTGGCTGACTATTTTCGTGATTAATCCAGTTCCTTAACACTGGCTACGAATACTACCACGTTTTCTTTCAACTCATAATTTAAAATCATGCTACTAATACCATTAGACGTTGTAGGCTTACCAATGCAACTGAAAAATAATAAAATTAATCAATCAAGATAAGATTATGGAGACGTACTGACACCGATATAATGAGCAGAGTATCGTCGCCTTGATATATCAATGTGGGATTAATGATAAACAATGTGACACTGGAGTCTTATTACAAGTTATTTTTCGCTGTTAATTATTCATTAACGACCACAACAGGTAAAAAAAGGAACGAGGGAAATACGCCTTATCTAAGATAGACAAGGTGGAATCCAGATTGGACTAGTTCAGGATGGTTCCAAGGCACAGAACAGGTTGTAAACTCGCTACGTTCTTACACGTAAGACACGCTGCATTAACGTGTTCAGAAGCTCAGATTCGAGGTCATTCCGGCTACACTGATAACTAGCTTCTACTCAGACGCGTCAAGCTTTTATAAACCACAATCTCCGTCATTCAGAGACGCAAGTGACAGGATGCCTATGTGACACAAAGCACGGAAGCCATGAACGTCTACAAACTTTACTTGAAACATTTTGCGGTATCATATCGACATTCGACGGAAAAAAGTAAATATATATTCTACTGTGCAATGTGGTATCTGTGATATGTTTACTTTTTCAACACACCCACTCATTCAATGGCAAAATTCTTTAAAAAGTCGTCTGTATACTCGGCTTGTAAAAAATTAGCCCACTTTCTTTATGGAACCCGAAGGTTCATCACCATATTCAAAAAAGCCCACCACCGGACTCTACCCTGAGCTAGCTGCATCCAGTTCGCACCATCGATTCCTGTCTCCCTAAGGTCCATCTTAACGTTATCTTCCCACCTATTCCTAGGTCTTCCCAGCGGTCTCCTCCCTTCTGACCTCCCAACCAATATCTTGTAAACATCTCTCCTCTCCCACATGCGTGCCCACCTCATCCTCCTCGATTTAATCACCCTAACAATATCAGGTGAGGAGTACAGGTCGTGAGGCTCATCATTATGCAATTTTATCCACGATCCGTCTCCCTCAAATATCTTCCTCAACACTCAGTTCTCAAACACCCTCAATACACGTTCCTCCCTCGAAGTGAGAGACCAAGTTTCGCACCCATACAGCACAAGTGGCAAAATCACACTTTTGTATATTTCAATGTTTAGAATTTTCTATATGCGACGGGAGGGGAAAATATTTTGAACTGAATGATAGCAAGCATCCCTTGTATTTAATCTGCTCTTGATTTCGCCACGAATGTCATTTTGACTTGTTAGTGCCGTCCCCAAGTTCTTGAATTTTGTCACATTTTCGAATGATTCATTAGCTATCATTATATTCCGGTTCTGTCCTGAATTCTGATGCCATGACATGATCACATACTTTTTTTTTTAGTTTTCCAACACAGGATTTGTATATGCAATAAATTAACATGACCGATGAGATATAGAACACATAACGAAAGCGCATTCGGTAAGAAATGTGTAAAAAGTTGCATATCAGAAATTGTAATTAGTTTTTAAGTTTATAATTTTAACTTTTACACCTGAAGATGGTTCGTATAGGAACCGAAACATGTTGTAAAAAGATGTTCCAAATGTAAATCGATTGTTCGATGAGGAACATCAAATGATACTTTAATTATCTTAATTGTAAATTTTATACATGAATTGTGATTAGACGGACAAAAATCGAATAAATATTAGTTTCACAATATGACGCAACTATATCATCTTAAAAAAAATTCAAGTATAATTTACATTTAGACACCTGAATGAAAAGAGGTCATGTAGACAAAAGGGGTCCGAGGACCCCACTAAAAATGGAGAACTGAAGACGTTTGACCAAAGACAAAGAATTAAGCTGACAGAAATACGAATAGACCCCAGACACAACGCGATCTCACGTAAACCTAGCACAACGTATGAGTGATTCTAGCAGAAATTAAGTAACAAAAGACTGGCTACATTACGCATCAGGGGCGATGAATAATATGCATTTTCACCAAATATTATCAGAAAGATAAAATCAAGGGCGATGAGATGGTCAGAGCAAACAGCACGCGTCAACTCGCCGACCTTCATGGAATCAAAAGTTCATTACCGTGTTCATAACAGCCTGATCTGAACACCGGTCATTAGAATTTGCACGAGATGCAAACATTTTTCTTTTCAGTGTAATCTTTCAGAAGTTATGCCCAAGTATGGAATTTCGTTACAGCGATGGATTGCTAGGTAACGAGATAAGGGCACGCGTTGTTACGTCACCAAGTGACAACATCTTTCACAAGGCAGATGGCTCACTGTATCGCTCAAAGAAAGTTTCTTTATCCCCACGCAATTACAATTTCAAAAGCAGAATTCTTTCTCCGAATTTATGGACTCGCCCATTCCGAGTATGCCTTAAATCTAGGGCACTGAAGTGACTAATTTCCTTTGCCGAACGTAATAAATGTGTCAACTACGGAGAAGCAGATAGCAAGACAAGTTTTTGCTTTCTTGTCATTTCATCACAAGAAATAATTAAATGACTCCCTTAACCTCAAAAAAATTAAAAGTCGTTACTGGTAACTGTGACAAAGTTTGGAGGACGGGGGACACCAGTTGCTTGTACCTGACTTAAGATAGTTAAGGCAAGAAATACAACGAAATGGGGTTTATTTTGCAGTCCCTTAAACTTAAGATACGTACGGAAAAGTTTCAGCTAAAAAAGGAGATATATATTTCAGTACATCCTGTCCTTCATTTTCTGAAGACGTATTAACACAGCGCAGAAATGATGTTTAGACAAGCTTACCTCACTTATGAAAACACTGATATCCGTGTTAGATAAATTATCTCATCTTTAGACGAAGAACAAATACAAGTAATCCTTCATAATGAATTCGTAAAACTTAATACTTCACTAATTGGATTTTATTGATTTAACTCTCTTAAAAATCAGGTTCTACAGAAAGGGAGGGGGGGTGGAATAATGTGTAACTTATCAATAAAAATTATGTACAGGTTAGCGGCAGAAGCCCATTTCAATATTTCCAATACTCTTTCTTATTCAAAGAAACTTTCAAACTTTCCCAATGTTGGTAGGTTAGAGTCCATACGGCGTTAAAGAACAACATCGATATGTAATTCGATTGTTGGAAAGCCTCAAATGTTGTGCTTACACTGTTCACAAATGGCAGCATACGTTTCTTTAATTCATTTTATCAAATAATAAATTCCAGAACAGGAACATGTCAGGAGAGATACTCCGCGCATTAACATCAGGACTGTGAATCTTGCTTAAAGCCCAGGACACTAGTACATGAGACCGGAGCGCTTGCCCGCGATGTGGCTACTTACCGAGGGGGTATAAAATGTAGTGCAAGTATAAGTGAGCTTGTTGTAAGGGCTCTGTGAAGCAGACGAGGGGCAACACTACTTCCTCCTTCGTGTCGTGATAGCGGAACACATCCAGGCAATACTCGTGAGGCTGCAGCGGGTACATGAATATGAATGGCACAAAGAGCGATCCGTTGGGTAGCACAGTAAACTCGTCATTGCTTTCAACGCGTGGTTCCAACCGATACCTGCAAACAACAAAGCGTGAAATCATGTCTTCAGGGTCTATCAGACGACACGAGAACATTCACGCTTCAGCGTAAGTGAAAACATCTCACGCCTCCCCGTCTGCTTATCGCGTCTTTTGTCATTGTTGCAACAATAACTTTGGATACGATCGTTACAATTGTGATTTAAGCTTTGAAATTTTAGTGTACTCCAAACCTCTGTGAAGCAGACGAGGGGCAACACTACTTCCTCCTTCGTGTCGTGATAGCGGAACACATCCAGGCAATACTCGTGAGGCTGCAGCGGGTACATGAATATGAATGGCACAAAGAGCGATCCGTTGGGTAGCACAGTAAACTCGTCATTGCTTTCAACGCGTGGTTCCAACCGATACCTGCAAACAACAAAGCGTGAAATCATGTCTTCAGGGTCTATCAGACGACACGAGAACATTCACGCTTCAGCGTAAGTGAAAACACCTCATACGCCTCCCCGTCTGCTTATCGCGTCT